CAAAAGTGGTGCTGGAAAAGAGAGACGGGATGATGATGGCTAACCATGATTACTGAACTGCGATAAGTGGCGGCTATCTGAGGCATGGGTGTGCTTATTTTGTGTATTCCTATGGAACCTCATTCAGTTTAAGTGTAGTTTTCTGCTTTTACCAAATTTTTTTTGGCGGTGAAATTATGCATATGCAAATGCGGAATTCCCCTCACGCTCTATTTTTAATGTATTTATCATGATAGAACAAACGTACTCTAACAAATTCCCTCTTGAGATAATTCCAGTTCGTTTTCTTCCAGAGTCCTGAACAAAAGAGTGCATGGCTACATAGTATTCTATAATAAAATAACACATTTGAATTGCAGGCTGGTTCTGTTATGTCAATACATTTCTAGACTTTCTACTTCAGTTCTTGTTAGCGTAACGACTGAAAACTCATTTTAATGTTAACATAAAGTATCACTTAAAAGGTACATCAAAAGGCTGGAAAAAGATATAAAGATTCCAAAGCCAAACAGGAATGAGTGTTTTAATATTTAGTATCTCAGCTAGAATACAACTGACCTTTACAAACAGATAATTTAGGGTTGAGGATTAGCAAATGTTATCTTGTCCCTGACAAGGTCTGAACAATATCAGAATGTGTTTTTCATGGATTCTGATATTGTGAAACCCATAAAAAAGTCTCGCGCAAGTTGCAATATCAAATCTTTTTGTGTCTGTATTGAATCGCCAATACTGTAATCCTCTGTAAAATTTTTCCTGAATTATCACTGTAGTACAGGCTTCACGAAAGGCTACATGGCTTACAAGGTGCTTGGATCACTGATGTTCTGAGTGACTACCCCCAGGGTCCTCACAAAACTAGCTCAAGGGAGCCAGACAGTTTGTTTTCTTCTTGTTAAGAGAAGAGAGGAAACACTCCACAATAAGCTGTTCCATATGGTAGTCGCGACTTCTTCTCTATATAGAGGAGGTTAGCCAAGCACAAAGACTTCCCTTAAACCTATTTTAGCCTTCGGGCAGTGTAGTTCTTACAGTCACTGGAAATGAGCCAAGTGGGGAAAAGATTTTATCATAGTTTCCATCTATGCAGAAGATTTTGTGAGCTTATGATTTTCGTGGAATGAATTTGAACAACAATTTAATTCAAGGGTACTTTCAGTTATGGGGTGACCGACAGAATACTGTTGTATAGACAAGAGTTCAACAAAATTTTCTGTAGAGACTCCGATAGTAAATAGTTCACACCTTGCAAGTCATACAATCAACATTTCAACCGCTAAACTCTTCCAGGCAAACAGTCAACACATAGCATAAAAAGCCCTATCTATATCCCAATTAGATGCTATTTTCAAAACCAGCATGGACCAGTTTGTTGACCCATACTTAGGAAAACAATAGTTTCTCCCTTTTCTTCTGTTTGTTTTTGTTTTATAGAACCTCAGGGCTGTCCATGAAAGGGTCAGGAAAAGCCAATAAAACAGAGACCTGAACTACCTCTGCTACAAACAAAGTATTTAAAAATTATATATGGATTTTCTTGTGAAATTACTTTTTTTTTTTGGTTTTTCCAGGCAGGGTTTCTCTGTGTAACATTCCTGGCTGTCCTGGAACTAGCTCTGTAGACCAGGCTGGCCTCAAACTCACAGAGATCTTCCTGCCTGCTGAGTGCTGTGCTTAAAGGCGTGCACCACCACCACCTGGCTATAAAGAAAACATTTAAAACCACTGCTTTGAACTAAATATAATGCTTTAAAACTCAAAAAAACAGATATTTGGGCAAAATAAACACATCTTTAACATTTTCAAAAATGATGAATGTCAGGATATGTTTTATTGCTCACAACAATGAACTTTTCGACAAAGTTATAAAAGCATTTAAATAGACATCTATAATAACTCTAAGATCACTGGCTTATCATTCCCACTCCCCATTCTGACCTTTTCTCAATGGAGAAGTTAATGTTTAACTTATCTTGAAGACTCCAAGAGACTTGGCATGGAATACTCAAATAAAACTTAAAACTAGGACTCCGATACTAGACTGTGAGCTTGTGGGAGACAGGAACTAAGTTGCCTTCTTCACATTCAAATAGTCTTTAGCACTTTAGAGTACTACATGACATTAAAGAGTACATGTTCACTGAATTGCTATATATTCCCACATAGCAACATAGCATTCAAATATTTTCCTTTAATATACAAACAGATGATGCCTCTATAATAAACCAAGATATTTTAAGAAACATATAGGCTCAGTAGAAAGTAATTAGGAAGAAAATAAATGTAAATGATTATATACTTTCATACAACATACATTTTGATAAACATACACTATCCTTTTCCATAATCTGAAAGGAAAAAGGCTATCCTCTATGGTGAACGACAACAAGAAAAACATCATTTGGGATGAATTTTTGGCTCTTTGAGGCAGAGTCTTAGGTCGCTCAGGATGGCCTCAAACTCATTGTATAGCTTAAGATGACTTTGAAATACTGATCTTGCTTCCTCCACCTCTCAAATGCTAGTATTGCTGACATTCACCAATGCACCTATTGTCACTGACTCATTTTAATTGACAAATATTTGCTTGTATTTGGAGAGTACAATGTGACATGTTGATCAGTGTAAACACTTTAGAAAGATTCAATAAAGCTGCATCATCTCAACAGCTTATTTTATAGTAAGGTTCATAAGTCTATTCTTTAACACATTTAAAACACATAAAAATCTAATAGTAATTTTTGATAAAAGTTATATTTTCACAAGAACCCACAATTCCCTTTGGAAATCTATAAAGCTCTTGAAATCCAGATATTTTCATGTTAATTTAAAAGGCTGGATTTTAAGTCTCCATTTTACTTAAAACCATATATATATATATATATATATCGAGTGATCTGCACTAAAATGATTTATGAGCAACATAAACTGGTCTCTGTAGGTTGCGTATATGCACACATATATACATATATATTATTTATTATACATATGAAAATAATAATTAAAGGAGACCCATCGTTTTGGGGGGGTACTGACAAGGGAAGGGTTAAAACGAGGAGGGGGTAAAATGATCTAAATACAGTACACAATTTTTGTTTTAAGGAACTTATTTGACAATCAAATTATCTATCTCAATTTATTTGGCAGTAGTTATCTGAACTGAATGAGGCTATACACTGTTTTTTGTTTACTCATATAAACTATCATAAGTTCTGCTGCAAAATATTAACATATTTGATTATGTTGTGTTTTTCCTATATCCTTTGGGATGTTACACAATCTAGAGTTTATAGCATTTAAATTTATAGAAATTGGTGGTGGTGCATGTCTTTAATTCCAGCATTCAGAAAGCAGAGGCAGGTGGATCTCCAAGTTTGTGGCTAGCCTGGTCTACAGAGTGAGTTCCGTGACAGCCAAGGCTACACAGAGAAACTGTCTTGAAAAAATACAAAAATAAATTATAGAAATTCCCAAGAGCACACTAGACCTTGCGTGGGGTTGGATGCTTCACAATACCTTTAGAACCCTATTTCCAATCTCTCTGAGGCTCTGTCCCTGGTTCCAGTCCAAGCTTTTATGCTGCCATCTTGATTAAGGGTTGGGGCAGCACAAACAACTCCCAGAGCCTATCATGACGTCAGTGGAAGAAATAAATGTGCCTCATGAAAACACTGAAAGTCAATATTATCACTTTAATGGGCAATGAATGACCCTTTGTTTTAGAAAGAACATCTCAGTCTTTTAAAAAGTATCTTTCTGTTTCGGTCTCTGGACATTGGGCAACTGAAAATCGGACCAGAATTAAGTTACTGTCTTATCCTTGCAATGACATCGTCTTTTCTCATAACCGTGTGTGTGCATATACATACACACATATCACACACACACAAATATATTATTTGACTGACACACATCTTGGGCAGTATAGAATGTCTCTCACATTGTGGGCGGCGACGTTGGATAAGTGTTGAGAAGAAGTAATTAGAGGCTTTATTCTAGCCCGGCTCCAGCAATAAATGCACCATTAATTACTCTTCGGAAATGGGACACTCCACAGCTATCTCTTTCTTATGGACTTTACCCTTTCGCCATCTGGATCATATGTAGATCTCAACTAGAGATCTCATAGTAAGCGAATAAGACATCTCTGTTCCTATAAACTAGAGACGGTGAAGCTGCCAAAATCCTATCTATGGTGGGGTATTTCAGACTGCCTAGGAGGACAAAGTAAAATACAAACTCAAATGCCCATACCGTTCTCTCACGAAAAATGGAAGAGACTCATAATCATCCCTCTTTTCCGAACTGCACTTTGTAGAATTAGTGAGTAAAACGCTAAGCGACAGCCCACCTAACTCGGGCGTGCCTCAGACTTTTGGCACCAGGCTGCTCCTGTGCAGATCCTAGACTCCACCCCTCCGAAGAGTAGCCACCTCCCTCCCTCTACTTCCGGCCTCTACCAAAGGCCCTTAACGTGCTTGCGCCATTTTGACAGGCTTCTCCCGCATTAGTAATCAGAACGTTGCCTCTCTGGGACCGCGCCCCCCCCCCCCCCCCCCCCCCCCCCCCCGCCGCCACCTCTCCGCCCCGCCCACGCTTTACCGGCCCGACCCGAAATCTCGCGAGGGTAGGTGCGCTTCGGTATTTTGCGGGCTAGTAGCTTTCCCAGCAGCTGTAATTGCCGCTGTGGGAGAAATTGGAGCTGTTGTCGCCGGCACGCCCGCTGCCTCTCTCCCGGACTGAGAAGAGCCACAGCCTCTTCTCTAGAGCTCTTCATACACCTAGCGCCCGGGACGCTGACAACAGTCCCAGACCCACTGCAGCCACCTCAGGCATTCGCTTTACAGGTCATCTCCCTTAGCCCGGCAACTGAGGGTGGTCCCCTGTCCCTAACTGACTTCTCACTCCACGTCATCTGTGCCCTCCTCAGCGTCGCCCGGGACCCACCTCTCCACACACTAACTGAGGAGGAGGAGAAGCTGAGAATCACCCTTCCTCCAGGCGGAGCCGGCCCCCTCACCCGCGGGTGTGTCCTATAAATGGCGTCGGAAAGCGACACCGAAGAATTCTATGATGCCCCTGAAGATGTGCACCTGGGGGGCGGCTATCCTGTAGGGTAAGTACCCGAAGCCCGGGCCCAGAACTCGGACATCCCGGTCTCTTCTTTTCCCGTGCCTCCCTTCACTCCTCTCCCCAACCCCGCTGTATCCGTCACTGCTGTTCCTCTTAGTCTCACTTGGACACCTCAGAACCCAAACCTGGGACTCCTTAGGGCAGGATGAGTTGGAAGAGGGACAGGGAATCCTGCTCCACCCTTTTCCCTAGTGAACAGCGCGGGGACTCCTTCGGAACCCCTTTCTTGTCTTGACCGGCCATTGAGTGGATGGCATTTGTGCCTGAGAGGCAACGATTTCTGTTTGCGGTGTTCAAAGCGTACCTTTCTAACATCTGCTTTGGCCCTGGGGTACCAAAAGGAGCGGTAGTGGCAGAAACTGAACTTCCCCGACTCTCTCTCTTTTTTTTAACCTCTAGTTTATCTGTTCGTTTCCGAAGGGGCTGTAACGCTGCCCTAGTTGCCGCTCACCTTTTCTTTTGCATAAAAAAGAAGCGGGGTTTAAGCAGGTATTTACTTAAGGAAGTCTTGCAGCCAACGCCTTGGGCATCAACAGTGTTTTATTGAAATAGCACTTTACTGTGAGTGCGCCAGAGGAAACTGTAGAGGAGGTCCTTCCCATCGGAGAGCGTGATGTGGTCTGAGCCGGCAGCCGGGCACAAATGTACACAGCCCAGTGCCGAGGCACAAACAAGTGCTGACTAATCTGGTCCTGGGAAGGACAACCCCGCTTTGGACCCTTTCTCTAATTTTGCAAGATGTTTTACTGGTGATTAGTCCGGGTAGCTCCGAGTAGGAAGTTCACCATGGAAAGCTTCTCTGACCAGGATTTGGAACTTATTTTACTCCTCCACTGTTCAGAGTTAAAATAGAGTTTGACATGCTCTCCCAAACTCTTCTCTTGACATGCCTGCAACTAGAAGCAGTGAAATATTGTCTCAGACTATAAGATCGTGAAAATTGGTAAAAATGTGTCTGATTCTTGGAGTTGAACTCTTTTTACGCCGTGGAAGAACTTTGGATAGAAATAAAGTTATCTGTACATTTTAGAAGTCCCTTTAAAAGCCTGCTATGTATTATATACAATACATACCCCAAAAGTTACAGCAAGGCAATCAGAAAGAAATGGATGTTGGTAGATTACTAATGTGTGTTTCCAGGAAGCTGTCTGTCACTTTTGTGAGAGTTTAGAATGATAATGATCTGCTATGAGATAACACTGAATCTCCTTGAAGTTCAGTATCTGATTCAAATTCATAACTGGGTCGAACAGGGCAGAAAATGCATTTAGATTTTCAAACATAATGGGTTCTCCCGAAATAAAGTCTGTGTGTGCCTTTCTCTTCAAAGTAATGAACTGTCAGTAACTGTCAGTTCAGGCTAAATGAAAGAATAATCACTTAGTAAGCATTTATGCATTTTTGTTTTTCTTTTTATGTGGGGGAATAATCAGTTTTGACTGTGTTAGCAATTTAGAGCCTTGTGGATATTGTTCTTCCTCACTGAATAAAAGAAGTTTAGTCTGGAAAGGACAGTTATTTCAGAACCTCTGTAAACTGTGAAGTTCAATACCTGACACAGAAAATGTTCAAAAGTAAATTCTTCTTTTCTTGACATTAGACTGTTAGTATTATCCAGTGCTTACTTTGGGGGGAAGGATACAAACTTAGGCTGTTTCTCTTATCTGAATCCAGTGAGTCATTATGATAGAATTGATAGTCACTTCTTCCCCCTGGGATCATATGGCTTCTCAGGAACTTTATACTTCGATAGTAGGTGAAAAGTTTGTTTCTTTTTCAAGTCCTTTGGGACCCAGCTTCCTAAATTTAACTCTAACTCACCCCCAAACTGAGCATGTTGAGAGCTTCATGGAAAAATGACAAGATTTGTTTGGGTTATTACATGTCCTTTTTTTTTTCTACTGTATTAGTGGGAGAATTGGAAAAAGAATAGATTTATCTGGAAAATTGGACCTGAGAACAGTTAGCAATATAGAGAGGGCAGAAAAGGGGTGGCTTTGTGGATATTTTCCTCTATCCTGTGGCAGACTTGTAAGGTACTGTGAGCAGACAGAGCTTGGCAGCTAACAGCTTTAAAAACTCAGTGAGAAATCTTGATTTCTGAAAACAGGTGGCATCACGAGCTAGTCAATCCTAAGAAATGTCTTCTGTTCCTTGACATGAACTGAAGTGGCACACCATACAAGCTCTAAGAGGCTAATTGAGTAAATTTGGCCACTTAAAGAAATGCTTCTTGATGTTTGTATGTTTGCGAACACACAGCATTTCATCAAATTGCACTAAACTGAGTTGACACTTGAGAGACATCTAATAATTTGTTAATCAGAAGAATCCAAATACACAGTCTGTTCCCTAATACTGATTTATTTTTTAAATTTCTTACCTATTTGTTAAAAAAATTAATAAGCAACCCAGTTTGAGTCCACTACAGTTATGTTTCAGCAGTGGCAGATCTGCTCTTACCCATTTTATAATGTGTACCCCATTTTATAATGTGTACCCCATTTGTAATGGTTTCTGTGACTAGTACTGTCTCCATTTTTACATTTGAGATCTTAGAGAACTTAAATACATTGTTCTAGGAGAAGCAACTTGCAAGCAACAGAGCTGGCCTTTGAAACCATCTCATCCAACACTAGCCCAGTGTTTTATCTGATGCATCATAGCTGTTCTGCACCGTGTAAAGAAGGGATCTTCCCCCAATTGATACAAGAGGAAAATGCTTTGTTACCAACCTTCTAAATTGAATTGATAAATCTATTTAAAGCCATCAGCCCTAACTTTTCATTTCTTTTTGCTGCAAATTCCCACCTTCTCTTTCAAGAATCTATATTTTTGTTTTATTACGTAGGACTTTTCTAATGTTGTAGTATGTTATACCTAGAAATGGCAGTTGTTTTAACCCTTACAAAATGTTAGGAAAACTAAAGCCCAGAGAAAGAAAGTGGTTTACCCATGATGCCACAGTGAATTAATAACAGAACTTCATCCCAGATCAGTTTCATAATGTGACATTCTTTCTGTTCTGCTGCTTAATACAGCAGGAAAGGCAGGAGGAACTGTGGTATAGTAGAAAAGAGCCCAACACTTATTTGAGCCATCTTATTTCCTCAACTTTAAATTGAAATTACATTTTAAGAACTCTTTGAAATTTAAATGTCTGTCATTGTATTGAAATTCAGTACTGTGTGCTTTTACTGATAAACTTATTCTCTTGGCGAAATCTGTATATCTGTATGTATTGTATGTATATCACATACATACACGTTGTTGAGTTGCTTTTTGTTGTATTGGTGATTGAATCTAGGGTCTGATACATGCTAGATATACTCCATCACTCATTTGTATTACCAGACTATTTTGTTTTGTTTTATTTGTATTTTAATGTATATCCTGCCAAGTTGCCCAGGCAGGCCTTAAGCATTCTGTCCTGCTTCAACTTCCTGAATAACTAGATTTACTGGCGAGTAATTCCAGTAGGCCTGGCTTACATATTTTTATAATGTTTTATTTAAACAAACATTGATGGCTTTGATATGTGGTTCTAAATCCATAAATTTGAAATTATTTACTGCATAAATTATATATGAGATGGATGCGTCTTACAACTGTAAATTATACCTATATATTCTAAAGGCTACAATGGAGAACATTATAAAAATAAATATAATATTTTCAACATTATTTTTTAGTGATAGTCAAACTCCTTAGACTTCATAGGTCTCAAAGTCTTAGAAGAGGGATAGGCCGGGTGGTGGTGGTGCACGCCTTTAATCCCAGGCAGAGGCAGGTGGATCTCTGTGAGTTTGAGGCCAGCCTGGCCAATAAGAGCTAGTTACAGGACAGGCTCCAAAACTACAGAAAAACTCTGTCTTGAAAAATAAAAAAAAAGGCTAGAATCATGCATTTTAAGAATAGGAATTAATTAGACATAATTTGGCTCAGACTTCACATTTAACTGAAAGTGAAACCTAGACGTAAAGAAGGAAGTGACACATCGTAGTTCAAACTAAAATCCAGGCCTTTTGATGCTGCCACGTTTGCATGGAGAGAGGAAGAGCAGGTAGCTATGCTAAGATTTTTGGCACATACCCTATTAAGTCAGGCCACTAAGGTGATCTACTTCTATTTAACATGATTTTTTAGGGTTTCCTTTTCAAAAGACATCGTTCTAGGATTCTAATTATGGCTCACTAATTTCCTTTAAGTCAGAATGAAAACCAATGATTGAATAGCTTATCTACGAACAGTGGTAATGTAGTTTTGTTTCATTTCTAGTGGTTTTGTTAATGTTACCTGCAATTTACCATGTTTAGGTTGGAGTAGTGGTAAATTACGAACTGAATCGTGGAAACAGAGGTTCAGGTGTCTGGAAGAATTGTTAGGAAGAGTTGAGCATAATAACCCATTCGCGTCTGCAATCCCAGCACTCAGGAGGCTGAGTAGCAGGAGGATCATGTCAAGGTTGAGACCAGCATGGTCTGCATAGTGAATGCCAGGACTGCTTATCAAGACCCTATCTAGCCAGCCTTTAATCCCAGCACTCAGGAGGCAGAGGCAGGCGGATCTCTGTGAGTTCAAGGCCAGCCTGGACTACAAGAGCTAGTTCCAGGACAGGAATCAAAAAGCTACGGAGAAACCCTGTCTCGAAAAATCAAAAAAAAAAAGACCCTATCTAAAAAAATAATAATAAAAGTAAACAAAAAGGGCAAGAGAGATGGCTGTCTGTAAGAACACTTGGCTATGCAAACAGGAAGCTCTGTGTTTGAGTACCAAGTCCCGCATGGCTGCACCTGCCATAACCCTAGTATTGGGGGCCGAAGCAGGTGGATCCTAGGAGCTTGTTGGCTGGCCAGCCTAGCCGAAATTGTGACCTTAGGGTTTAGTGAGAGACCTCATGTCAAAAAAGTTAGAGAACAGTAGAGGAAAATACCTGCTGGGCTTTGTATGTACACAAACCCATACACATGTGCTCAAATATCA